CGACTAGGTGGAAAGTTTAAGCTTGGTCGTGTGGTACGAGGAGCCTTGGTGGTAGTAGGATACGGGGTATCCTTACGCTTGGTAGTTGTGGGCTTAGTTGCCGTCGACTCGGTGGCCACACCAAACCAGGCCAAACCCACCACTGTTGCGGTCGCAGTAGTCCTTGTCGTAATTGGCGGGCAAACACCAGTTCTCGGAAGGATAGAAGCACCCAGTGCAGCGGCTGCACACATCAGGACGAGGAGTCACCGGGGGTGGCGTGGGAGTTGGCATGTCACCACACCAAACCAGGCCATACGCACTGTTGCTGTCGCAGTAGTCCTTGTCGTAATCGGCGGAGAAACACTCGCCCTCGAAGGGATGGAAGCACCCAGTGCACCTGCCGCACTGAGCAGGACGAGGAGGCATCGGGGTACGATCGATCTTGGGGAACACGATGTTTTCGGCGACGTGGCACGTGCCTCTGGCCTTCACACCGCGCTGGAGCCGGATGTAGCCGCCTTCGCCCCATTTGTCGCCCCACGAGTTGCGGAGCTTGTACGACTTCTCGTCGTAGCCCACGGCGAGGACGGCGTGGTCCGAGTACTGCGCATTGCAATGCGAGATCACACCCTCGCGGTAGTTTTTCCACACGGGATTGGTCGCTGCAACAGACACCGCCACAGGCTGCGTGTTGAGCACCAAGTCCAGCGACTCCTCGCTCCACGTGCGGACCGGCGCGCCGATGCTGAGCTTCTGCTTGGTGCACGAGTGACTCCGGCACGTGCCAGTTAGACCGAGGCCCGACAAGAATGGGTACTCGCTCTCCGAGCAGATTCCGTTCTTCGACAGGTACGTCATGGCGCCCTGCGGCATTCCGCCGTAGCACCCCGCGGTTCCATGCACGGTGGAGCAGCTCGTCACTTGCTGCTCGGACAGGTCGACGCGATCTCCCGTCACGAGGCAGTGCGCCATCTCGGCGGCAGCTACTGCCGCGAAGACATAGCCATTCTTGCAACCGCCTTGGCTGCCAATCACGGGGTTGACGCACTTGTGGGTAGTCCAGTCCACCGACGCCGCCTTGACGCTGCTCACGTTCAAATCGGCCTCGGGGACCGAGTAGATCGCGCTGGGACTCTCCTGCACGTTCAAATCGGCCTCGGGGACCGAGTGGATCGCGCTGGGAGTCTCCTGCAGGGACATGCCCTTCACGAACTCATTGAACTCAGCTTGCGTCATGAGAGCAAACGGGTTCTTGTCGTCGAACGTGGCATCGGGGTTGTTGCGGCTAGCCTCTTCGATCGCGACCTTGTTGTCGTAGAGCCGCTGGAGAGCGTCCTCTTCGGCGTCTTGGGGGGACATGCTCATGATGGCTTGGGGCAACACGCCCAGCGCCGCGGCGGCAGGTTCAAACTCTTTGCGCCACGCGGCGAGCTCGGCGCGGAGCACGGACCGCTCATCCGCCGAGAGGGTGCTCACGGACTGCTTGGAGGCGGCAGCGGACGCAGCGACGAGGGCAACAAACAACTTCATTGGAGTCGAGAGGAGTTCAATGCGAATTCAAAAGTGACTCTTGTTCAATCAATCAATCCAGCATCTTGGTACGCTTCGAGGGTAGCGACGACAGCGCCGTTTGGGTGCCCCAGAACCTGGTTAATCCTCGTTGATGCTGTGCAGTTGTTGGCCTGTGTGTCTCACCGTGGTGTCCAAGTTCGGTACAGCTGAGTCGGTGCACTCAATTGTTGCAATATTGTCGTCATCATCTATGAGTATCTAAAAGCAAGAGGTTTTGGTGGGGGTACACGCAGTTTTTGCCGAAACTGGTGACAAGGATCAATATTTGCAAAACTAGTGCATTGATGTTGGGAATAGCAACAAGAGTTTTGACTCTTTTGGAAACCATGTATCTTTTACCAGAGACATGATGACTTGTTGACAAGTGGTTGGGCAAATCGTTTCGCACAGCCCCTCCCCTTCAAAAACGCATTGGTCGTTGTGATCTCCATTCCTTTGAAGTGGGTCAACCCTATATGCTTGCACCCCCACCAACGGAGTCACGGAGATTCGCTTTCAACCACCATCGCATTTTCAAATCGGCACCTTTTCGGACCATATATCCTTGCAGACCGGTTTTGGACCTGACAGAGCAATTGTTTCAGCGTATTCGGTTCGGTCCGAGCAACTTTGGAGTACGTAACTTTCTGAAACCAAAGCGATGTGACGTGATTGAGACAACAGCGGACCGTGATTCTGGCATGGGCGCGTCATGTTGTGACGCACTCATCGGCCCAATCTGCTTGACGATGCAGTCAGTAGTAGTACACCACGCAGAGGGACTGACTGAAGGGAACACTTCTTATTCGAGATGAAAGACGATGTGTCAACTGGAAGTGGACAATTGTGGGCAAGTTCGGCCTTGTCGGACGATTTTGGGGAATCACCCCGGCTCATGAGGGAGACGGTCCGCGAAATTTTGAGAGGTGTTGATCGCTCTTGTTGGGGCCATCGCTACAATTACGCATCCATGCCAGATTCACGAACCACTGTTGTCTCAACCACGTCACATCGCTTTAGCATTAGAGTACGCTCTTCGTTCGGACACGCTTCGGACACGTACTAGAGATGTATATGCTTGGAATTTGTAAGGGATTCCACCTACATTTCTATATCCTTGAACATGACCCCTGGTGGTATCAGCCCTAATAAAACGATGCAGCAGAGAGGGCGGGATATCGCACGGGATCGTAGGATGGAAACGCTGCCGCGACGTTGCGTGCGAATGACGGCGCTACTTTGCCGAGCACAGAGTGTGAAGCCTCGACCGGCGGAGAGGCGACTAAATATCTGGAACGCACGAGGCGAATGGCCCGACTAGCATGCCCGACAAGAAAGGCTCTTTCAACAACGTTGACATAAAGAGCCAACT